AGAGAGAGAGAGAGAGAGAGAGAGAGAGAGAGAAACAGAGAGAGAGAGAGAGAAACAGAGAGAGAGAGAGAGAAAAAGAGAAGGGGAGGGGCGGACAGAGATAGAGAGACAGTGAAACCGAAATGAGACTTAAACCACACCCATAAATTCTACCCAGAAATTTTACAAAATTCGAAATATTTTTAAGCTACCGTTGCTACTCGATTTCACGCATCACGCACACACAGACACAAACGTACACACACACGTTTGTGTGTGTGTGTGTGTGTGTGTGTGTGTGTGTGTGTGTGTGTGTGTGTGTGTGTGTGTGTGTGTAGACCTATTCAACATGAGGGTAAAATGCAGTGAGACTGAAATTCTGCGAATCTTGAACAGAAAGCTAAAATATAGAATATACATGATGAAATTTACTATCACCCATCCAATGAAACTCGATTCCACACAAAGCCTGCACTAATGTGTGCTTTGCAGAAGGCTCAAGTTGTAACCAAAATTCTAAATTTTACAAAATTTGCTTCCCAGATCAGTTTTTGTCATCCGGAGTTGCCTTCAACTCAACGCCATCCCCCCTCCCCAGAGTGTATCTTTTAAAAAAAATCAATAATCCCCCCATTCCGGAGTCCTATACTTCGTAGCGTTCAGACTTTGAATGAACTTTGATGACCCCAACCATTGCCAGCACTCACAATGTGATGTGAACGGACAGGTTCACTGACCGGTCACGATGGCAAGCCCGACAAGACACTTGTATAAAACTTTCTTTTCTTTTTCAACTGTTCTGAGCATCAATGATCTAAGCGATCTTCTATCAAGTCCAAATAGCCTACCCAATGCTGTTCCCGAGCGGAGCACTTAGTTACCTGAGGAATTGACCCGGTCAGCCATGCCGCGCCCGGATGGTTATGGAGGTCACTTTGACCTTTGCTCTACGAGTGAACTGTTGTGACTTTACAATTTTTTATACAGTTTAATAGCTTCATCGCGGCTTTTCCCATATAAACAAAAATCAACGTGAAATTGTTATCAACAGACAGAGGCATTCTTGGACTGTACAGTAAATAACGTTATATTGATATTCTTAGCAGGGCACCCTTTAAAACATGGGCGCAATTGAGGCATGGGTGAAAGTGACAAGAGATGGTTTAGCCTGAGGATTCTGTTTAGAAAACGGATAGCCTGAAAATTTCATGGTAAATTCACGCGGCCTGAAGGATGGGTTAGGCTTTTCAATTTTCCAGGGGCATGTTACATAGCAATGACAGCATCATGTGCTCTATATATAATAATAATACACACAAACACACAAACAAGTACGTAGCCAACATTTATACAAAATTTCAGTGCGGAACTCGAGTCTTGTGAGACTTACAAATAAAGTATTTCTGTCAGTTCTTACTTGTTATATATTTTCTTATTTTTATATTTTGCCCTCATCATAACTATTCTATATTATACAAATATGAATCCTGCTTTGAGCGTGTGAAAAGGCCTAGAACCAGAAAATCGACTGTCAAGAACCAGTCTTGGTGTCATGATTAATATTATAAACGTAAAAGTCAAAAATTACTGCTCAAATTCAAAGTAGAGCAATAATTCTTGAATGGCTAATCAGAGTAAGAGGTGAAAGAACTGAAAGAGGTCAAGGTGCAGTGACACTGAAAATCTGCCAATCTTGAACAGAAAGCTGAAAAAAAAATAGCTTTATAATTTACTATCACCCATCAAATGAAACGCAAACACTTTAGTTCATTAATAACAAGGCACAAGACTTACAAGGCCTGACGGATCCCGATTCCATACACGGCCAGCACCAAAGCGCGCTTTGTAGAGACCTCAAATTAAAAAAAATTGCTTCAAAGTTAGTTGTCCTCTGGTGTTGCCTTCCGCACCCTCCCCACCGAGGGTATCTTTAAAAAATCAATAATATACCCCCCCCCCCCCCTCCCGTACCTTATGGTTCCAAACGCTCAGACTTTGAATGAACTTAGGCAACCCTAATTACCGTTGATGCTCACATGATGCCGTATCATGAGACACGAACGCGCGCAGGTTCATTGACCGGTCACGATGACGAGTCCAACAAGCAGACTATCGGACGACGGTTTTCTTTCTTTTTTCACAAGTGACGGCACAGAGACAAAACTATATTTCTTTTCATGGCGACACAGCGTTTAGAGTGGACGAACTGCATGTCACAAATGTTGCGTTACCAGTCTATCACAGGCCAAGTTCAGGGTGGTAACGAAAGCGAAAGTAGATCTTGATATTCTCGACCGAGCCACGGTGTAACACGCTTCCGCATGCCGCAGTCGCTCTATCGGTGTGGATTATCAAATTGATAAAAGCCAAGAAAAAATTACGTTATAGCACAAAAGTGTAAGCTAATTTGATCGTCTTCAAAGATGCTACGGCTATTTCACTTTTCTAATCGAGCCATTTTGTTTTGCCCGGAAGTTCTCGCAAGATCTACTCCTCCCCTCTTCTCTCTGTCTCTTTCTGAATACTGTCTATCGGTGAGGAGGATCAAATTGACCAAAACAAAGTTAAAAAATGATGTTAAAATACAAAACTAAATTAATTTGGTTGTCTACAAAGATGCTACGGTTATTTAACTTTCCGAATCGAGCCGATTTACGCGGG